GGAGTATCAAACACTAAATCCATACTGAAGGGGATCAAAAGTTTGGTCTTTGAAGTGGTAGTACAGGCATTCAAGAAGTTGAGCAAAAAGGGGAGCAAGGAGATGGGCCACAGGTTAAGATTGGTGGGATCCAGTTTAAGTATGGGGGTGACTAGTGCACGGTTTGGAAGTTGGGGGAAGATGCCAGAAGTGATTGAAGATGTAAAGTTAAGAGTATAGGAAAGCCAGGAGGGCGACTATAGTATTTGTGAGGGAATAGAGTCCAGGGGTCAAGCAGACATTAGAAAAACATTTAGCAACCTCAGCTATTGTAGGTGTACGGGAGATATCTAAATTTTATCAATCTTATTTTTGAAATGATTGCCAATCTCCTGGGCAGTGAATGAGAAGGCAGTGGAAGACAAATTAGAGTTAGACCCCATCTAACGGATTGGATTCCAGTCAAGTGTAAACAGACCAGCAGCTCATTTACATCCAACCACCAATAGAGAGCAGACCTAGTCTCCGTCCACTCTGCATAAGCAGTGCAAACATGGACCAGCCATCTGGTTGCTCAGCAGACATATCCCTGCTGAGCAAGTGGACAGTAATAGTGCCCACCCTGTGTGTAAGCGGCCTGGATATGTAATGAGTCTGCTTGGCAATATGGAGCCAAGAGTTGGAGGGCAGATTTATATTGGCTGAAGTCTCTGAAGTTCAGTCTTAAGCCACAGACGCTCAAGAGTGCAGCTATGTTTTTTTTTTTTTGCCAAGTTCAGGTACACTTTAGCATTTTATCCCTAAAAAACATTTTTGGTTATACTTCTGTTTTGGACCAACATTTGTTCTCCTGAGATCTGGAGTCAACTCAGATGGTATAGCCAAGCCACATTTAGGAATAGGACAACAGTTTTGGGATTCACATGACTGCCTGATAAATTACATGGCCCACCTTTTAAAGGCCTTCCCTCCCCAACATGGTGCTATAGTGAGCAGATTAAGAGCTGAATGATCAGTCAGGTGACCACTCGGCTGTCTTAAAGTTGGTGTGGGGGACAACTCTAGTGCCACACAAATCTTGCAGCATTGGGAAGGTTTTTTTTTTTTTTTTTTTTTTTTTTTTTTTAAAAACAAAAAACACACCACAACCCCCCTCTAAAACTATATAGTATTATGAAGACCCCAAACTAGGCCCACTTACCATCAATTCTATTTATAGATGTCACAAATACTGTACAAAACAGCAATCCACCAGCATCAAAAGTGTAGCTGTCATGGTCATCCTGAAACAAGGAAAACACAGGTTTAAAATTGATGCCACTTTTTCAAAAATTAAATAAGATATCTAAGGGAGGGGCTTTTTAAGTCTGGTTCGTGGCTCTTAAGTACTTTATATTTATTTTCTTTGAATTAGAACCTCAGGTAAACAACTGAACATTGGCAAAATACATATATGAACTCTCTCACCCGCCAAAAGTACTCATACAAGCGAACGTTATGGATTTTACACACCTTTGACACTCCACAGCCAGGAAGATCACCGCCCTATTGAAATGCGAGGATACACATGCCCTGTTAAGGCCAGTGGCAGAGGAGACATAGGAAGCTGCATTGCTGGACCAGATGTCACCTACCTGGCTTTGCAGTGTGGCATACTGTGCAAGTCATTATAGTCTAGAATAAATTCCATATTACAAATCCTTTGGCAGGTAGAGCATTCAACACATGTAGCTTGCCTGGACAAATGTTAAGAAGAGCAACTACATGGAGTACTGGTAGCACCTGAAAATAACCAGCAGGTTGTGGACAGATTCTGGGGATATGCTAGATAGAACCAGACTGCTGAATAGCCAAAGAATGCTTGCCAATTATATTGTACGAGCACACCAGTACCAAGTTCAGTGAGCAATCTAACTTTATATGTATCACAGGCACAACATGAGCTTGAGGAAGAGGGATGTGGACATGAGCAAAAGAGTTACCTCAAACTACCGGACTAATTCCGAAAATGAACTAGCCATGAGCAGCTTTCGTCAGGCTCCACAGGATGCACAACACTTGACTTCTCCAAGGAAAATGCAGCTTCTGTACTTAGCAGAGGATTCTCAGAAGGCAACAGTATTGTACTAACATTGCTTTCACTAGCTACAGAATTATAATCTATGCTGTTTTATATATGGCACAACTATACTATAATGCAAACGGTTATAACAGAAGCTACATATTTAATGCAGGATAGCAGGTTGGACATGACAAGTGTAGACAAGAGGAACAACTTGTCAAACCCAAATCTCATTTCAGCTGTAATTCGATTCATCATTAAGAATAGGGGCTGCCATTTATTATTTACTTCTAAAACGGCTACCTGCCTATCCATCAAGCTCAGTTTCAGCACGTGGAAGTCAGAAAATTTAACGAGTATGCTGATCAAGGATGATCTACACTGGCCAAAATGTTTGTTCTAAATAGGAGACTCCCAAGTATTGAAGACAGAAGACCAGCAACTAGCATTTTCAGAAGTCAGCAATGGCAGCCCACAGATCCCTTTCAGGACAGGATTTTAAATGCCATAAGTAACCCTACGGCAAAAAAACATGCACAAAAAGTGTTTATGGTAGGCATGTTAAATGTCCAACTTATTCCACATTTCTATTATGGGCAGAGTGGGAAAGGATTAGACCTGTCTAGTTCTTGCTGTCAAGATGGATTTGCCCTCACATCTGGGAGGTTGTGACAGGAGTAAGTATTGAGGGGAGATGCCAAAAACTGGGGAAGTAAAACCTTCCCCACTCTACCAAACAAAAAAAAAAAAAAAAAAAAAAAAAAAAAAAAAAACTTTCCAAAGCGTGTTCAGCTTCACAAAATCTGCAGGTAAACACATAATTGTGATAATTTTCAGTACTAGCTCACAAGCTATCAAAAAGGAGGAAAAAAACCCCGTAACAAAAATGCTTTAATTTCAGTTGTCACAAAGAAACACCTGTTTGAGACTGCGTTAAAACCGCAAATTCCAGCGTGTGTCTTGCATCAAACCCTTGGCAGAGTAACTAGGATTACTGCTCTTACAAGTACCCATTTTTCCCCATTAATAGATTTTCTTTAGATTCAGAATCAAAAACCTTTTTTTCATCTTCAGCAGTAAAAAAAACCCCAGCAAATTACATATAAAGCCATTTTCACTTGGCAACCAGCAAGTGATTGTCTGTTCAAGGGTTTGCAATACCTTGTTTTCTGCTGTGCATACAGACTGAATATCATGACCTTTATTAACACAACATACAGATAAAATTACTCAAAGGAGGTGACACTTACTCCTAGACCCAATTGCTTCAAAAAGGTCTTCAGCCTGCAGAAGCAGTCAACAAGGGCAGGACTAATAACCCTGCAGACACCACACACACACTGAAGCACCAATATTACATTTTAAAAAATCTTTAATACAAGCAATATCAGTTTGACAAAACACTATATAGGTTTGACATACTACTTGCTTTGTGACAAGATTCTCTAAGAAAAAAAGGGGGGGGGGGGAACCCCAAAAAAAAAGCTTCAATGCATAAAATATACAAAAGCTTGCACATGGCAACCTTGTGTACTACCCATTAAACCCAGGTCTAGAAGAGGGGTGATTGTGAACCCCCAAAAAACAAAGAAGTTTCCCCTAGAATATTTGAAAGCCTGAAGAAAAAAAAAAAAAAACTAAAAAAAAAAAAAAAAACTAAAAAAAAAAAAAAAAGTTTGCAAAATCTTTTTTACCCTCCCCACTCAGCCAATATGTGCACAAGGAACTATTCATTTTTTGTGCAATACTTCTAGTTTTAGAGCAAAATCTGGGTTCTATTACACACTTCCTTTTTAAACCAGACTATATTGGCATATAAACATAAAAACCCAAACACTGCAAATGACTCAGTAAAATTGATGGTTTTGATCATTGTTTCTTTTGTGTTTTCAGTTTGCCATGCAGTCCCTCTACAAGCACTTCTGGCAAGTTTACTAAAGCTTTTCCCCCACCTATGTGAAGTCCCACTTCAGTGTTGTGCAGAAGGTAATTTCAGGAGCACGTTTCTTTCAGACTGTCTTTTAATAGGCTTCGTGAAGCCAAAAAGAAAGTAAATACAATTCTGTAACCACTTCAGTACAGTATTCAAATGAAATATTTGTATAAAAAAAGGACAATACAAACAAACAGTTTAAGAACGTCTTGTGACAGATCCATTTGTTCACTTTAGTTATATTAAGGTGGTACAGCTGTCTATTTCAGCGCGCCCAGGCTCTGCACTACCTCGTCACACAAAGAAAAAAAAAAAAGAAAAAAAAAAAAAAAGTATTTTCAAACAAGAAGAGCTCAAAATAAGCTCATGGTTTCAATCCCATGACTATTTACACAACAGCAAGAGATCTAGTAAGACCACGCTGTAGTAGGAGACATACCCATTTACAGGGATGTGAATGCAGAAGCACCACTCCATTTGCTGAGCAAAACCATTTACTGCAGCATGAATCTGCTCATTAACAAACAAGAGCTTCACGTATCTGCAGCCTCAACAGAACAGCAGTATGAAACAAAACAAAAAGTAAACACAAGTGTGCCCCAAGGATAACACCCTTTGAACAGCTGTTCACATTCTACCACAGTGAGGCTGTCGAGATTAACCAAATTTATATAAAAAAAGTGAACACAAGTTGACATACTACACATTATTGATTCAGCGAAGCTCCAAAAATCTTTATAAATACAGCCATTGGAAGGACGATCTTGAGTCAGGAAGGTATTTTACTCGTGTGAGGCTGAGGACAAGAAGCAGGCACAGTTGTAAAGACACTTGAAGCAGTTGTCAGATCCCAGCATTTTACCCCTACGCTAAGCCCAACCCACATAGCCCCAGTGCTAATAGTGTTTGTAGAACTTTTTAAGCCTTGACAAAACATACATAGACATGCATTTGCTGAGCTGCTGAAACTTATTAGCAAGCCCATCCAGATACCACTAGAGTAGAATTAATCCCCCCATAAAATCCTCACATCACACCCCTCTGCCTTGACTTACCATAGCTGTCATAGCTGTCTCTGTAAGAGCTTCCTGAGCGATCACCATAACCTCCTTGACTCCTGCCACTAATAGAAAAATAAATTTAAAAAAAAAAACCCCCACAAAACTATAGCAAATACAAGGCACTTTGCTTACTAGAAATAAAAAAAAAAAAAAAAAAAAAAAACAATCTTCACTCAAACATACCTGCCATAATAATCCCGGGATCCGCCACCATAGCCACCACTCCTGTTGTCAAACCGGCTGCTTCCATAACCACGGTCACCACCACCACCTTAAAGCCACAAAAATACGTTAGCCTTTATGTAGCTGCAGAAAGTAAATAAAAGGAATGTGCCATTTTCATATACTCTCCCCTTCCCAAGAGCAGGTACCAACAACTGTCTTACTACCTTTATTAGACAAAAGACTGTCACTTTAGTTTGCTACTTTACCAGGGGCTTTAAAACCCACCCAACTACCATACCCTGACCACTGAGACACTTGATAGGGGCCAAGCCTTCAAGCCAGGCTACTTATAATAAAGTACCCGAGAACACCTGGCTCATTGTAAGATTCTGTACATGATGTGCTTTAAAGGTAAACTTAAGCAGCTATACAGCCACCTGATTCACACTTCATATAGTGGGAATGCGCACTTTTTTTTTTAGGGAGATTTACATGCTGCACATATGGCAGCCTATTTGACCAAAAAATTGGTTATAGACAATGCATTACATAACATACAATATAGATATGTACTCTGAAATACTAACAAAATCGTAACACCATCTTAAGGCCAAAGAACTACTGTAGAACATACCACGGCCTCGGCCTCCACGGAAGAACCCTCTTCCTCCAGATGAGCCACCTCTGTAGCCTCCTCTCCTGTCGCTGGGGGACTTTCCAGCCTGATCAACTCGAATCTGACGTCCATCCACGGACTAAAACCAAAATTGAAGAGTTGAAATAAAGTAAAAAGCACACATTTTTTCCTCATTGTAAACTACAAGTGCAATTTGGGGGGGGGGGGGCGCTCATACACTGCACTAAAGTACAACTATAAGCTTATAACAGTGGAGAGGGGCTATAACCCATCAGATTTTTTTCCCATCTGCACCCAATTAGGGAGATTTACTCCTGTCCCCTAACCAAAACAAGGAAATCCCTGCAAATTTGGGGAATCCCTTGGAACCCCCCAGAACTAGCATCCTTTGACAATTTTACCCTCTTATGTTTCTGAGGACAAACCACAATGTGGTATTTCCCATCACTTTCAACAATAATGGTAAACAGTACAAAGGCGAATTAGGGCACCAGTGGCAAGAAAAATGTAAAAAAAAAAAAAAAAAGTCTTGCATTTAAAAGGAAACGAGTAAAAAACCCCACAATCTCTCTCAAAAAAAAAAAAAAAAAAAAAAAAAAAAAAAAAAAAAAAAAAAAAAAAAAAAACTTGCTGAGAAAACTTGAGCAACCGAGAAAATGGTTACACAAGGTGTGCAGATCTGCATTTGATACTATATATAAAATGGTGTAAATTAAATATAAAGATCATGTAGCTCAAAACAAGCCATGTAAAACAATTTTATATTTAAAGAAACAAAAAAAATGTCTGCATCACACCATCTTTAAATACAAGGAAAAACCCACACATAGTATATATACTTTTGATTCTAAAAGCCTAAAAACCTCTTGCAAAACATTTTATCTTTGTTTAGATTTCTGTTACTACAAAAGCCCAGACATTCTATTATAATTTCATCCTTTAGTTTAAAAATCTGCAGAAGGCAATCTAACGGTTAAAAACCCTCACCATTCCATTCATCGCCTGCATAGCATCTTTCGCATCTTCTGGATTCTCAAATGTGACAAATCCAAAGCCACGTGATCGCTTGGTCTCCCGATCTTTCACCACAACCACTGGAGAGAATGGAAAACACATTAGTCATTAAAGCTTGGCCACTATATATGAAAAATGTATCAATCATATCTTCATAGAAACTCACCCTCAGAAACTTGTCCATATTTGCAGAACACTTGTTCCAGACTCTGCTCGTTGGTATCAAAGCTGAGCCCTCCAATGAATAGCTTTCCTTCGTCAGATGACATGATGAGATCTGCGGAAAAACAAAATGGCGCCAGCCACTCAGTATAACGTGTTCACAAAATGGCCGCTGAGCAGAGTACGTCATTGTTCTCCACAACCCCTCCCGCTTGTAGTCACCACCCAGTAACAACTGCCGCAGGAAAGATGAAAAGGGAGGAGTAGCTGGGATAACGGGACTATGGAATTAGCCCAGTCGGTTTCCTCAGTGCACCCCATTCCGTCTACAGAAATAGGCGACACCCCATACCACCGCTCTACAGCACAAGGTACAACAGAAAGTGAGAGGACGCTACAAGTCTAAAACCTATATAAATCACAAAACATCAAACACTACACAGCCTTCTCCAGTCCCACCTACCCAAAGCCACCCACCAGCACACACATTACCTTAGCTATTTACAGCGTGCAGATCACTCAAAAAAACAGCAATGCGGAGTGCGCAATGAATGCTGGACGCCCCCTTATATAGACCAGTGTGGCCTCGCCCACCACATGAATAATTCATCACCACGGCGGACTGTACCATATACGTCCGTCTACACATTCTCCTCAAGGTGATCAATGTATTGTTAAGTCAGATATATGGGTAGCGAAATAAATTATCTTTTCATGACTTTTTATTTAAGATAACTCAATAAATACCGTTATTAGCTATATTTTAACCGGTAAATCCCCCCTCCGACTAGCTGACCATTGGTGGTCTCTGCCTATATGGAGCCCCACTATAACGGGGCGAAGGTGTCCTATCATTGGCTGTACAGGACCGGTGAGGGCGGGAAACCGTGCTGTACTGCCATTGGCTGCATGAGTGGTAAGGGCGGGAAACTGTACTGTAGTGCAATTGGCTGTACACAAGTGGCGATATAACGGGACAGATATAACGGGAGTAGAAGGAATGCGAGGAGGAGGCGTGCGGGCGCCATTTTGTGCCTCGAGGAAAGCTTTGTTTCTGGTGGTGTCTACTGTTATTCGTTTTATAGTCGACGTTCGTCATTCAGTCATAAATTAAGCCCAGTCTTTTCACTTATGCGAGACGTTGGTTTATTTAAGGCAAAACTGCCGCTTATAATGCTCACCCTTTGGTACAATATAGCCGCTCGTTAGAAGCATCACTCCTGACTCGTTTATTTACCCTCGTATAGCATCTGCACAGAAAGCTGTGCTGCCTCAGATCGACCACGCTTGTTTTTCTGTATATTACAGCACAGTTGGGCTATCCATGACAGCTGAGTTGCCGAGTGATTTAAAAGGTATTGCCTACACGTGCTTCTCAGCACCAGCTGCCGCCATTCAAACAAAGAATTGCACAATAGCTTTGTCCAGAAACGCTCAGGGCTACAGCTAAAACGAACCCCTACAGAATGGATGGTGAACTATAAACTAGTAAGTCAAAGCTATATTAGCTATAAAGTCCCCTTGATTTGAGAAAGCTAAATACCACAGCATGACAGAAAATATCCCCAGACATTACTGGAACCTTTGTTCCAGCCACCACTGCCAAGTTACTTCACTACAGCTAAATAATGCAGCCAGGATTCCGTGTTATGCTGGCAATACTCTTAGCAAGTAATTTGAAATGAACAGTTGAATGAATTAAGATCTAACGAATGTGCAAGCAATAACACCATCATATTAATGTCGCCCACTTATCGACAGATAACATGGTACATTTATTGATTAAGCGATCAGTGGAAATGTAAAGACCTCTGGGGTTACATTTTAACATGCGCATTTTCTGTTTGCAATCGATTGGACATGATTATTTTTTTTTTGCCATAAACGTTTGCATTTTGATAAAATGAGCACATTAATGCATTGAATGCTTTTCTCAAATGATTTTCTAATCGTGTATGCCAGCATAACCCTGGTTGGCTGGGTGCGCAATTGCAGTCTTTAGTTTAACCACTTCGGCACTAGAGCAAGTTTGCATTTTTGGTCACAAAGGGTCTTCAAACCTCCAGAACTGTTTCTGAAAGCAGAGGCCTTGTAGAATAGATACTTGTTGAGCAAATATAGTGCAACATAAAATAGCAACTGCTTATCAAATGAATTTTAAGGATAAAATAAGTATTTGTGCATACAAACAATATACTAATTTTTAGTCAAATATAAAAGATGGGGTTGAGTAAATGGATACCAAACATGCCACGTCTTAAAGTTGTGTGTGCTCATGATATCACAAAAAATAGTATTCAGAGATCTCCATGGCCAATTACTTAAGTCTTTACAGATCATCAGTTTAGAGTTGACTTTGAGCTTTGGTGCTAAAACTATTGCTCTCACTTCCACCATGTATGGTGAGTGCAATCGTGGTTTACATACCTGGGCAAGTTTGCAATTTGTGTGTGGGGCAGAAGGTGTTACAATTTTTTTATTTTAAGTTTTTTTACTTAAAGAGTAACTCCACTTTTTTGTTGGAAACAAAACAGTCCTCTCTGGGTGATCAATGTACATTGCAAAGATTTTAACAAACTTTGTTCCAGAGTCCTACCTGTTTCACCTTAGAAGGAATAGCTCTTTGTTTGTTCATGTCTTGTGCAGGACTGATTCAGAATGGGAGTGACTTTTTTTTTATTATTAATCAGCTGAGGCATTTGCAGGGCTCTAATGAGGAAAGCTGCAAGGTCTTCATTTCTTTAGTGATGATTAACCCTTTGGGAGTATCTTACCAAAACTGATTTTTTTTTTTTTTGCTGAGGATGCCCAAAAGTTGTCTTGTACCTTAGTGCAGCACATAGAAGGTTTTTTTTTACCTACATGTATAGAATGCATAAAGGTAAAAAAAATCAAAAAACCTTGAGCCTTTAGAAACACTTTAACCACTTTCCTACTGGGCACTTATACCCCCTTCCTTACCTGGCCAATTTTCATCTTTCAGTGCTGTCGCACTTTGAATAACAATTGAACTACATTCAGAAGAGGTGCCTGATGAGGAAATATCTAAATTGGAAAACCGGTTGGAGACAGGCACTGGAGCTTCCCGTCCCTGTTCCATTGCCTGCCTCTTCTGCCTCACAACCTTCCTTCTCCCCTCTAGGTACTGCCAGTCAGACTCAGAGATACTCTCATCGCTTACTTTTTTTTTTTTTTTTTTTTTAGATTTCTTCACAGAAGGCTTCTTTTCAGAAGAGATGGCAGCACAAATTTTGCCACCCTCCACCACTCCTGGTGGGGGGGGGGGGGGACCTTCCTTCAAGTCAGACTTGAGAGGAGAAGACTCACAGGGATAACTGACTCATGGGGCACAGATTTAGAAGGTTCTGACACAAGGGGAGCAGGTACAGTAGGTTGGGGGGGGGGACAGGAACTCCCGGCTCCCAGCCATATGCATGAGGGCATAGAGGTCATTTGCCCTGAAACCCATCTCCAAGATCAAATCAACCATCACTTGCCTTGCTGGAGGGACTGCACCACCTTCCCATTTAAGCATGACATTTCGCCTTGGACCCCTGGCAGAGGCCAGAGACCCAGTTCCGCTTGAACAGCAGCCCTGGCTTGATGGTATTACCAGGAGCAGAGCCTAGCACCTGAGCAAAGGTAGGCTTATCAGGGCCAAGGCCCCACGCTGATAGAGCACTAGTCTGCACATTACTATTTACAGATCAATCTGAGCTCCTAGGATTGTCCTTCCCACCTGCACTGGCAGGACTGTCAGTCACACAGACATGAACCCTTTCATCAGGTGCAGTCACAGTCTCCACCGCAATACCATTGGTCACCTGATGCTGCACTATAGAGCCTTGTTCAGATGTGACTGGGCAAGAAGCTTTATATTTGGCCAAAGAAGGGTTAATGGGTTCTCCTGGCACTTGTTAGTCCAGGGGTCCTCAAACTTTTTAAACGGGGCCAACTCACTGTCCTTCAGACCGTTGGAGGGCCAGACTATAGTTTAAAAAAAAAAAAAAAAACTATGGTCATCTCCTGTACTGTGTCCACATTTGTTCAGAGACTGCGGACATACAACGGCGGTGAGAATACTGGGCTGGCCGCTCTATAAGACGCACAGACATTTCCCCCAAGTGTGTCTTATGGAGCGAAATAGTGCCCCATCATTGGTGTCAGTGGGAGGAATAGTGTCCCATCATTGGTGTCAGTGGGGGGAATAGTTCCCCACCATTGGTGTCAGTGGGGAGAATAGTGCCCCATCGTTGGTGTCAGTGGGGGGAATAGTGCCCCATCATTGGTGTCAGTGGGAGGAATAATGCCCCATCATTGGTGTCAGTGACACCAATGATGGGGCACTATTCCTCCCACTGACAGCAATGACACTTAACTAGCCGACTCCTGTTCCAGCATGGTGCTGCTGCAGCCAGCATACCTGGTTGCAGCAGTACCATCTGCACGGCACACTTACCGGGCGGTCAGCTGTCCTCCTTCCTTCACTTCGGCCTCTCCCTCCCTTGATTTTCATGGGGCCGCTTGGCTCCGCTTCCTCGCCGGTGATTGGCCGCCTGTGTGCCTTTCCTGAGCTACAGTACTGGCACCCAATCACCGGTGAGGAGGCGGAGCCGAGCGGCAGCATGGACATCGAGTGAGGGAGCGGCCGGAGTGAAGGAGCTGCGCATCCTGGACTGGATTATCGTGGGACTGGAGCCAGGTAAGAGTCAGCAGCCCCCTGCCCACCCCTGTACTTAGTGTCTCCTGCCGGCGGGCCGGATGAATGTGGTCGGGCAGCAGTTTGAGGACCCCTGTGTTAGTCCCTCTGCAGAAATGTCATTTTTTAAATGCACATTTTGCTGACTTCTAACACCATCCATCAAAGCCTTGCTGGATATGGGGTCACCAGGCTGGGTGTCACTAGGCAAATGGTCCGCATTAGTTGCGTTAAACGGCACAAAGACAGTCTTATCCAGTTTGGGGCTTGATGGGCTTTACCTTATCAGGCCCGTTATCAGGGATGTCCTCACCATCAAACACCAGCTGATTCCCTCGCATTGGAGACTCCATTGACTGGATCACCCTCAGCATGCCTCCTGAGTCCTGAGAAGGCATAGGGCTGTTT